CACATAGGTTTTTACGATTATTCTCACACATATATTTAGAGAAAAACAAAAATTCTATTATTGTAATCAAAACGCATTCATCGAACTTTATATTATAAATTTAATAGAAGAAGATTTTATCTGAATGGGAATTCAAGAGCGTTGGCGCAGAAGTCAAAGTTCAAAAAATATATATTATTCTTTTAATGAGCAAACAACTCGAATGGTTCGAGAAGATCCTCTCCGAAAAGCAAAGGTGCGTCAATTATTCTCTGCTCTGGGCGATCCTGTTGTGTTACGTAGTATTGAACACATCTTTTGAGTGCAAAATCACCATTTTTTGATATATCATAAAGCCTACAATCAATTGGAGTTTGCATAAACTTCCAACAATAAGGAGTAGCGATGAAGTAGTGCGTTCCTCGCTGCTTTGCAATTTTTGAGGCGTTGTATTTTATCATAGATTCCAGCGAATTTTTTAAAATAGATATAACAACTATCAATCATAATGGGAACTCGTTCATTCGTTTCTTTGGTTTTTATAACAGGAACATAATGTGCGTTGCATGTTGCCAATTCTTCAAATAATTTGTCAACTGCTACAGAATCAGAAAATTTGTTTCCTTGGATTTGCTGCCACAATTCTGGTATGGGCTGCATCAACTGTTCTTCCCAACTTACTGTTCCCTGTAAGCTCATGCACAGCAACATGATCACCTGAAAAAAATTATAACATACATATTATATGTATTAATATTAATAGTAAAAACTAAGTAAATGTGTCTTGTTGTTTAGAAGAAGAAAAAAATCAATGCCTACGCCTAACTAACGCATAAATCCGTTGCGATGGATATTGTCATATGAGTTTATGCGAAAAATTTTATTTTTTCTGTTTATGTTGTCTGAGAGTAAAAGAGAAATTATTTAGCCGCTAGATCTTCAATTTCCAATTTAAAATTATCGGACTAGCGGTCAAATGATTTCTCTTTCACACTCATGCAAAATAAATGGCTAACAGAAAATGTTCATAAATAAACCTGTACTTACTATTTTTATTCTGTTCATGATTCTCTTCTGCTAATGACGGCTACACCTCAAATATGACTGATTAAAATGTTCAATTTTAATTACCAAAAACTAAGCTTCAAAGTTGCTTACAAAGACATGACACATTTCTCATTTTCTCTTTCAAGGTAAAAGACGTTTTTGTGTTCCACTTCTGAATCAGCATATTTTGACGGGACTTTCAAAAAAACACGTACTTATTTGTTTACACTGTATCACAAGAAACTTAACATACACTTTCTGGCGTGCATTATTCTGTTAAATTGGCGTGAAAATCAACAAACCATTTATGTAATTCATTATGTTGTTTTCATTTCTCTTACTTAATTTATTTATTCGAGCTAAATTGAGCTAATTATATATGCTAACTAAAAAAATCTTAATAAATATGTCAAGATCAAAATGTAAAATGGTACCCCCCTATTACTATATTCTTTTCGATATGAGGCCTTTATGATTTTTTAACATGCTACCGTAGCTTTCTTCTTTTCAAGGGATGCCAGCAATTCGAGGAAAGGTGAATATACCTCACCATTAATATTAATATCAAGTTTGAATTGCTTACAGTCATATAAAATTTGATTTTTTCTTTCAGTGCTCAAATTAGGAGAGATTATGTGCAATTGTCGAATCAATGGAAGAATTTGCTTGATATCCGCAATGCTAATTTTTTGATTTGGATTTAATTCAAAATATAAAAACTTTAAATCTTTTAGATTGGAAAGATCAGTAAAATCGATATAATTAATTAAATTGTGTTCAATATCTAAAAAGACGAGATTGACCAATGGCGATAACATTGATAGGTTAGTCAGTTTATTGTAACTCATTGATAAATGTTTTAAATTACTATTTGGTTGGGCATCGACGAAATCAATTTGATTGTTGTCTGCACTTATTTTGTGCATATTCGGTGGAACAAAAAGTTGAGTTAGGCCACAATCTGACACATCCAATGATTTTACGTACGCACAAGTTAAATTAATGCTATTTAGGTTTTTATTGCTATACACATCCAGAAAGTAAAGATTTTTCAGAGTGCAAAATGTTTCCGATTGAATGATTCGCAAGTTATTAAAACTTAAGTCTAATCGCCACATATTTTGATTATAATAAAATAGATCCGATTCAATTGCTTGAATACGATTACCATTTAATAGCAAAATGCATATGTTAATTAATGATTTAAAAATATCTTTAGGAAACGCGGAGATACGATTAAATGACAAATCTAAATGCCTCAATTCGAAAAGATTATCAAACGTGTCATTTGCCATTTCCATGATTTTATTATTTGATAGGATTAGGGAATTTAATTGTGAGCAATTGGAAAAGAAACGACCTGGTAACGCGAACAGTGTATTATTTGAAAAATTGAGTTCTTCCAAGTGTTTGCATTTACACCTACTATTTATTTTGTCGATTGCTGACAAAATTTGATAATCATGATTAGGAATGTCGATCATATGTGGTGGTATTGATGAAATCACACAGAAAAATGATGTCAACAGCAAAAGTTGTCTGAAATTATAATGATTAAAATGAAAATATATAGTAATAATTACAAGAAATGTATTTAAATAATTTAAAATATAGCTGAGCAGAGGGATTTCTGATTCAAAACCATTTGATGAAATTACTGAATAATGCATGAAAAACTTTTATCTATTCACTGACAAATCAAAAACATTCCGTTTATTCAATATAATTGCTTAGGAATAAAATTGTTTTAAGCAACTGCTTTCATAAAAGAAAATGAATTTTTACTTGTTGACCATGTTTGTTAAGAAAATCGCTGCAATCACTGTTTGATAAAAATAATATTCCAAAATAAATGTTCTCGGGCAGACCATCACAACTAAACTAAACGATGTTCCTGCAACTCTTAAAAAAGGCACAGGTACACAAAAAAAGTATGTCAATACGTTTAAATTAGGCGGCTTGTGAAATAGCAGGTAGTCGATGTCTTTTTTCCATTGAATATTTTTTTTATTTGTTCTTCAGTATAAAAACAACAATAAACAAAATAAAAAGTGTATAAAATGAAAAGAGAATAACAAAAACGATGGATACAATTCATTTGAAATGTATTTGGAAGTAAACTAAAAAATAAAGCCATACGGCAATTCATCATGGTCTGAAGTTTGGACTCTGAAGAAACCAATAGAAGAAAATAAAAACAATATCGCATAAGAGGTGACAACGGTCAAAAATTTCTCCGTTCATTGCTTTTTAGGTTTGAATAAAGCAACAAGAACGTAGATACCATACATTTTTCACACATACTTTTCTCATTCGCTCTCTTCACATTAGTGGTGCTTATGAGAAAAAACAACATTTTGAAACTTTGAAGGTATTTTAATGCAAATTAGGTGTCCCAAAAAAATGGAACCCTTAATTTTCATTGACATTTCTTTAAACTCTCAGAATGTTATTTTACATGTGAAGAGAGCGAATGAGAAAAGTATGTGTGAAAAATGTATAATAATAAAGCAACAAGAACGTAGATGCCATGTGTGTATATGTGTGCACTAATACGTAAAAACGTGGATGAAATCGGCTTTTTCACACTACTGACCCTTTCAAATAAAATTCAAAGCATGTTATTTGCTCTGGTTTCAATCCCTCCAAGAGATTTGGAACAAACACAATTGACCACATATACTATAATCATGGTCACCTTTTTATTACAAAGAAAAGAAAATTGATTTCAATCAAAGGTACCGTAATAATAGCAATATTTCGTTGAATACATAAAAAACCGGACCACGTGGTGTGGAATATATACGATTTAGTTAAAAAAAAAATGATAACCTGTATATGTAAAAAAACTATACATATTTTTGCACAAAAAGTTATCTCATAATTTGTTTACTTTACAAAATTAAATTATAAACGTTCATTTAAGACATCTTTTATGGAATTTGAAATTTACTACGTAAAACATTTTTCAAGAGACATTAATTTTATAGCAAAACGAAACCATTCCAATGTAAATAGAATATATTTTTTTGTGTGTTTTATTTTGTAGTTTTGGTTAAATTATGTTTTTGCTGGATATCATCATACAAACATTTTTTATTTTTTTTGAGAAATTGTGAGTGTGTTCGAAATCGTTATTATAATAATTTGTTTCATTCCAAAATACTGAAATAATTCAGATGCATAGTGTAATTGAAGACAATGAAAGGTGGATGGACCAGCATTATGGGGTGTCCGATATTTATTACAAGAAACTTACAAAGTATATTCGTTTGCGATAAAATATAGTACAAGCGGCAACATTTCGGACACAATTATAAAAATTGTTGAATGAAAATTTAATCTTTTCATAAATCAAATTAACGCGATTTGACGAAATATGTCAAAGAATCTTTAATAGCGAGAATATTGTTTTAGAAAAATGTCGAAGACATCCAGTAGAAGAGATAGCCCCAACGCACAATAAATCCTTAATGAATGATCAAATATTCATTAACGATAAAACTACTGTCTCCCAGACAATATATTCGGACTTTGTCATCTGGATATTTCAGCTCATCTGGATAACGTTAGGTGATGATACGAAATGAAAACAATAGAAGTGATTGCTATAGTTATGGAAGAATTTTTATACCTATACAATACAATAATCACTTCTATTGTTTTCATTTCGTATCATCGCCTAACGTTATCCAGATGAGCTGAAATATCCAGATGACAAAATCCAAATATATTTTCTGCTGTCTCCGCACAATGCCAACTTTGAAACTGATTCTCGATGTATCAAAATTGAGTTGTTTTTAAAATAAGCTTCTTGGTCTCTTGAAAAAGACCCAAACGCTGAAATGTTTACGTAGCGTGACTGAGCCTCAACATCATGCAGAAACTACAGCGCTGATAAGGTACAGACTGAATGAATTGCAAATATTCTGGTGGAGAAATGATTAATATACATCAGCTGTTTTCATATGATATTCTGACTATGATCGAAATGAACAGAAAAAAAGCTAGTGATCTGAAACTTCGACTTTATAATCTCAATTCAAATTGTTTTCATGCTATTTTCCTTATAATTGTCTTGATGAAAATGTCCCTTTTGATAGATTCAAACGTGTTTTTTTTCTGTGTAATTTTTTTTTTTTAATTTTATATGTAATGTATTGTTGGATGTTGTTTGTTTAACAACAGCCACCGCTGCCTTGACTCCCTTGACTTCCAGCACCAGGTAGTGAAGGATTTGTTGGCGAATGCTGTTGTCCGATTTTGATTCCATTGGCCTGATGATAATCAATTACAAGCAAATTAGAAGATTTTTATGCTTACTCCCTTGAAAATTCCATAAATATGAAGTTGTCAAAATAAAATGACAAAGTTACCTCGTTGTTGATGTCAAAGACACCTTCTTGAATCTTCTCGTAGATTTCTTTGGCCGTATCTATGAAGGCTTTTTCCACGTTTGATGCTGTACGGGCGGAAGTTTCAATGAAAACTAATCCATGTTCGCGAGCAAATGCCTTGCCTTCTTCCTCTTTTACCTCACGACGAGAGTCTAAGTCACTAATATAGTCAACAACAAATAAAATATATCAGTTAAATCGCCCGTTTATTTTATTTGTATGTTATCAAAACAGCTGCATGAATCCATGCTATGATTCATAAAACAAATTTTGAAAAATCAAACCTTTTATTTCCAATCAGCATAATGACCATATTCGAGTTTGAATGTTGTCGGGCATCTTCAAGCCATGTAGTCAAATGGTTGAATGTTTCTCGTCGTGTTATATCGTACACTAGCAATGCCCCGGCAGCTCCACGATAATATGATCGAGTAATTGATCTGATTGAAATGAAATACAATTATAATATTTAAAAACAAAATCAAAACTCAAACAAATATTAAAAGAAAACAAGTACCTGAAAGCTTCTTGACCTGCAGTATCCCTATATATAGCATAATTTATAGAAAAAAATATAATACAATATACAATAAAATAAAGTAAAATAAATTACGATTGTAATTCGTTTACCATATTTGAAGTTTTATTTGTTTGCCATCGATAGTGATCATACGAGCACCGAATTCCACGCCAATTGTCAAATCGTGAACGGGTTGGAAACGTTTATCGGTGAATTGTAAAAGGAGACATGATTTTCCGACTCCTGTATATTCAAAAATATATATACAAAACTTTTAAAAATGAAATCAACAAGATAGATTTAAATGTTGATTAAATAAATTAACCATGTGTATGTGTATGAGTCTTTGTTTAGATGATGCCAATTATCAATAATCATTATTGAAGTCTGGCGATAAATGCACCGAGTTCGACTAGAATTCATGACTCAATATTGGACCTCAATACAGACGAAATTTGTTTGTAATATATGGATAGTCGCTGCCAAAGATAAACACTCTAAGTGTGATAGCAATGCGTAGGTGGATGGTTGCGAAGAACTTGAAAGTTTAGAGCTTTGATGTAAAGTATGTACATGCTTATTGAATTGAAATAAAAATATTAACGAATGGATGACGCTGCGCGATAAATAAAACGTAAAATGATGTATTTTATTTTCAACATTATCAGTGTTTTTGCACGCTATGAATTCATGCAAAATGAATAAGGATCGCATTTAACTAATGTTATGAAAACGTCGTTGCACAAAAATTAAACAACAATCTTTCGAATATGCGTTGCGCTTTTGGTAAACATTCAAGGTTTAAATCACAGTATATGCTAAAATGGTAGTTTATTTTGTTCGACTTTCTTTGTCGTTTTTCAGTTGTTTCTCTTAACGTTGTTTTCATTTGTTTTATTTAGTGCACAAATGAATCGTATGTTACGATTTGTTAAACGTACTCGCATATCAAAGGTGAAAAATAATAACTGCACATATGTTAGTTTACGGCTCTGAAGTGCGCATATCAAACAAGCATTTATCAAACAAAGAATTTTTTTTATTATGAAAAATAATTAAATAAACAACTGTCAATAATATAATGTAATCCAACTTAATTTAATTAAAAAGTTTTAATAACATACCCGTATCTCCGATGATAATATATCTGCACACCAAATCATATGTTGTAGATTTATTCCGAATTACGAATGATGCAGAAGGGAGGACGGAGATAAAAGTGTGTGTGTGTTCGTATCGTTGAATGTTGATATTTACCGCAAAGAAGACCAAATATTATAATATAAATGGAAAAGACAAAACAAGATAAATTATTTAAATTAGCTTTTTAAGAGAATTTACAAAACATCTCAATGCTGTCAATATTATCCAACACACATAAAAAACAATAACGCAAAACAGCAACTAAAAAAATCAATATTTCCCATACGGAACTTACTTAAATAAATACGCGTAACTCATTTTTGTTTTATTCTCTTTGTTTCTTCAAACTTCAAATTTAAATTGACCAAATTGGCTGCGTTGATATAACTGGCACACGGAAAACTACTGTTTCTTTCACTATATAATAAATTGAGGATATATATTTCTTTTCGATTTACTATAATAAATGCTCAATATGATTGAATTGCCAACACTTGCTACGTATATTCGTCGTCGTTCCAATCTGTTTTTTTATATGTTTTAATGCCTTAGTTTTGACTGCTTTATTTTGATTGTGCTGCGTATATTTGACACAATGACAAATTCAAGATTAATATATAAAATCAAATGACAAAAAAAAATTATAAATCAAGCAGACACCATATTCAATTTTGCACGAATCTTTGGTTCTTTTTAAACTTATTTTCACTATATGTTGAATGCTTTGTTTAATACGTCTGAAGAACAAAGTTTGCAAGTGTTGTCAGCGT